AAGACAAGAGTTTTGCTATGTAGTCTAGACTGCACTCAATCCCATTATTCCTCTGGCCCTACCCCCCCTTTTCTGCAATTGTAGGTATCCTGTCTTAATGATGTTTTGTGATACTGCTGCTTTGCAGTATTGGTACCAGCAAGGCTGCTGATCTTTCTCCACAAAGGGAAGATCATAACTATAATTCCATGGGCCCAATGTCCCTTTCACAGCTAGCTATTCAGTTCTGTCATTGTAGAGTGAAAGCCGCCACAGAGAACACGTAGAGGAATGGGCATCCTGATGTTCCAGTGCAGAGTGACTATAGATAGGAGTAGTGGCTGGATGTGGTCACATGCTGACACCTGGATGTGACTGCTCTCACCAGGGGTGGAAAGGAACTCTTGACTCCCACCATTCTTGCAGGACAGATGTTTCTTTACAGTTTGGCAGGACCACGGTTTGTTATCTCCGACATCTCACTCATTACAGATTCTCCTCCCAGAAGCTGAACTGATACCCAGTCAAAACTTGAGACAATTCCCTGTTCGAAACCCTTATATTCAGCCCCTGGAGAAGGCACAATGCTAACTTTCTTTAAATTCTAACTTGCTCTGTGCCATTGTGGTCCCTGCTCTTCCAATCAAGGATACTTGGGCTGTCTCACAGAGCAAATCTCCCGAGAACGCTGCTATGGGTCTTTGCTGAATGCATGAGCACACCACACTAGAGTCATTCAGCTACTCAAGGGAGATTCAGATCAAGCTCTTTTGTTTCCAAAACAAATCGATTTCTGTTCTTAAGTTTGAAGAAAAACCAAGTGTTCCACAGGATGATATGAGAATATGGATTGCATCCAGCCACCAGCGATCTGTGAATAGAGGAGCCTGTCCCATGTCTCTTTAGCCTGGGATCCACCTAATCCAGTCAGTCACCCAAGTCTAGACTGGAAAATTGGTCTTGCAAGGATCATGGAGTATTGGTAACAAAATAAGGGTCCACTGAGGTCATCCCTTCTGAGGAGTGATGGGAGATGTCATTCTGTAAATCTGTCTCTTATTGGTTGTTGAATAAAGCACTGTTGGCTAATAGAGAAGCAAGATAGGTGGGACTAGGAGTCAAGGAGGATTGTTGGGAAGAGAGGCAGAGAGAGACACCAGGTAGGCAGCCAGAGGAGTAAGAGGTTCGGACCCTTTTCTCCAGTAAGAGAAATACATAGATTAACAAGTATGGGTTAAATACTTAAGTCAGAGATAGCCAGTAAGAAACCAATCAAATGGCCAACAGATTTATAATTAATATAGTGTCCTGTGTGTTACTTGGGGACCACAACCGCGGCAGGGCCCAAGGCAACTAGCAAGGAAGACTACACTCCACAGAGGAGCAAAAAGTCACACCAATCATGAGGTGTCCTAAAAATGACAATAAGAAACCCAGGGCAGGGCACTGATGGGTTTCTCAGGATAAGGCAGCTCCCTTCAAGTTAACACTGCCCTGTCACAAGCAGGGGAAGAGCACAGATGCAAACAACATCATCAAAACCCATAGGATGTAATGGAATTATCGTGTCTGCCAACAAGAGCACACATTAATGTCTTAAGGAGCCATGAGGCAGGAGGTATAACAGCTCCTGCCTGAAAGCCTGTCAAGCACAGATCCCTGGAAGCCACATCTGCAAGGCAGGTGCCCAGAGGAAGCCTGTGAGAAAGTCAGTTTGTTGTGGAGGAGGAGAGTGCACACATATAAAATAAACATTTCTTTAAGGCTCAGCCATTAATATCTGAGGTCCATAGTCTGCCAGTTTGAGGTATGCACATGAAAGCTACTTCCTGCCCAAGTTCAAATGCACCAGCAGTCACTAACGTGTGCTATGGTCCTCAGTCAAATATTTGAAAAGCCAGGATTAAGATTTTCTATTCCTAATGATCTTAAAATTTCAAGTCCTTTAGAACTCAGTATTAGCAGTAAGTCTTTGTGGGGGTGAGGTGGGGGTGGGGGTGGGAGTGGGGGTGGAGGTGGGGTGGGGGTGGGCAGATCGAACCTCAAGAAACATAACAATAAGGAGATGACTCAGTCAGTAAGGCATTTGCCATGCCAGCATGAGTAGTTGAGTTAGGATCCCCAGGTCCACATTTTAGAAAGAAGAATGTTGGGTATTATGGGTGATGCCTATGGAATGCCTGACCAGCAAGGCAGAGAAGGGTGGATCTCTGAAGCTTGCAAGTCAACCAGCCTTAGCCCAATCACTGAGCTCCAGGTTCAGTGAGAGACCCCATCTCAAAGCATAAGGTGGAGAGTAACCAAGGAAGGTACCACATGTCAACCTTTAGCCTCCATACATGCAACACACACACACACACACACACACACACACACACACACACACACACACACACACACACACACAGGTACACACGCAATATACTCATACAAAAGAAACAACACAGACATGAGTGAACCTACCTACAATGAAATATATGGGGAACCTATAGGAGCTGACCCCTACCTTAAATAGTATTCCAGATTCCTGAAACATTACAGCACTGGAATCCTTGACAATAGATTCCTAATCCTTGACAATAATAACCTAATATAGCATGAACACTTCCAGCTGGCACCTAATACAAACCATACATTCACATTAACTGTGACTTAGGAAGAGCATGGTAGGAAGGAAGCACTCACTCTCACATTCTGACTGAAGCCCAGAACAACCTAGAGCTATACTTCCATTCATCACTATGTCCTTGCCATAGGCACCTCAGTGGCATTACAAAGCAGTATGTGGTGGCTCTAACGCAAATTCTTTTGTGCTTGTGGCATTGGATCTGGCTGTTTCTGCGCTTCCTAGGCTGCTGAAAAGGGCTACCACACATTTGGTAACATAACATATACTCATTCCCGTATAGCTCTGGAGACCAGAATTCCTAACTGGAAAATGAAGACATCAGCAGGGCCACACTTCCTCTAGACTCTACAGAAGAACCAGTCCTTCAGCATCTCCCAGCTCTGGACGAGCCAGCCCTGGCCAGGGCTGCATGACTCCATCCCACCGTGTCTTCACTTAGCCTTCTCCCACCTCTATCTCCAACCTCCTCTGCCCATCTCCTATAAGAGCATCTACCATTGGCTTGGGCAACACCCTAAATCCAAGAGTTTATCTTAATATTTTTAACTTGTGGGTTTTCCCCCTTTGGTAAAGGTTTCTTTAGAGCATAAAGCATGCATAGAGAATGGCTACCACAGTCAAGTTATTTAACACATCCATTTTATCTTTCTTTCCTTTTTCAAGATAAGGTTTCTCTGTGTAGCCCTGGCTGTCCTATAACTTGCTCTATAGACCAGGCTGGTCTCGAACTCACAGAGATCCACCTGCCTCTGCCTCCCAAGTACTAGGATTAAAGACATATGTCACCAGATATCTTACGTAGTCAGTGTGTGTGTGTGTGTGTGTGTGTGTGTGTGTGTGTGTGTGTAATATTCCTGAATTAAGTTCCTTGGCAAATTTCTAATAGTATGGTATTATTAACTACAACCCTTTAAAAAATAAAGTTGTACTTATAAGTTCTAGAGACTAGAGCTTGAATTTACTTAGGGGAAGAGGGACAGTATTTAACTTACCATGATAAGAATAGCTGTAGAGAAGAAAATGATGCATTTAACTAACATGGCATATGAACACTCCATTGTAAAACTTTGAAAGGTCGAAAACACCATCATGCTAGAGGCTGTCTTCTTCAGGTGAGTAGCTGACCCTGCCTGAGCCTCATTGTTTTATGCTTCCAGAACAAAATCTGGAAGGTTGAAGTACTACAACAAGGCCTGATAACAATCCCCTTCAAGCGTCTGTCACTCCCAAACTCATTTTCAGACCCTAGTTTCAAGTATCTCTGGGCAAAATGTCCATACAGAGAAGCTTTCTGATGTTTCCCAATTCAGCCACTAACTGGTAAGGTGCGACTTTAGCACAGGATTTGGAAAAAAAATCCCACTAAGATAAGAGGCTTGCCGAAAGTCAATAATCGTTAGACATATGGGGAACCAAGGACTTCACACTCTGACAGGAGCCTTTCCCATTCCAAGCAGCCAGTCACCTGCAGCCATAGTCTGTCTCCAATTATCCCAAGAGCCACAACATTGCAGCCCTGTGGCCTTCAGGGCTGTATTTTGTCTTTGGATTCCTAGTACCAATACCTGGTGTCTGAGTCATTCAATAAACACCACTACAGTGAATGGAAACACCAGTCTCGGTAATAAATAATAACAGGGAGAGCTGGTTACAACTCCAGATCCCAAGTGCCTTATACTTGAGGGATTAACTAAAACAATGAACTGCCACCTTCTGCTTTGGAGGGTGCTCCAGAAATGTCAGTAATTATTATCTCTGACTTTAATCCTCACCCCTACTGAGAATGGAGTCATTCCTATTTCCATTAAGCACAGTGGGACCTGAGGTTCAGATAGGTGAAATTAAAGACCTGAGACCTGGAACAGCCAGGATGTGTTACAATTCACAGACCTGTATTTTTTTCTGCTATACCATACTGCTGCTGGCTTAGACTAGTCAGTGTGTAAGGCTGATCCGGGCTCTAGCATCTGCAGTAAAACTATATATTGAGGTGGGTATAAGAACGCACATTTTCATATACATTATGTATATGCATACATGCTATACATTTGTTCACACACAATACCTTCATTTGAAAAAATACTAGACACAGTGCTGAAATGATCATCAGAGTCAAGGAGCTTGGTAAGTTTCCCCCTGCACTGTCAAACTCTTGAGTCATACCATCCAGGGGTGAAATGTCACACGCCACATTCTTCTGAGCTCACAAAAGCAACATATGCAACACTATGTAAAGTCCAAAGCCTTGGCTTCCAGCCCTCATGACCTCCCCTGGAACATTGTTTTTCTCATCCATCCACCCCACAGTGAAGAAAACTGCACCATGTTGACATCCACTTAAACACCCCAAACAATGAGCCAGAGAACAAAAGTGCCCTCGCCTTGAACTTACAGGAGGAATGAATGCTGGGGAAGCTTTTGCGGCCCTCGGACACCAGGTCAGGGTCACCTGTGCAGTGCATTTCTGAGTTCATCACCCCATCTGGAAAGCAGCGGTAAAAGAAATCGGGACGAGGTCTACAAAAGACACCATGGACATTTTCAATATACAACGCTGCCATCACAATGAGCCCCAAGCTAATCCCTCCTCCCCACGGCCCCCATCCCCTTGTCCCTCTGCAAGCTCCCTCTGTCATCCACAACATATCTGAATTGTAGCAAGTTTTCCAGCCTTGGGGAGGTCTTGGCCTTCCCCAGTTCCCATCTGTGAAAGGGAGAAATCAATACCTGACCAAAGGTGAGGTCCTGAGCATTAAGTCTTCCTGGAAACGTAAGCATGGTATCAGCAGACTAGAAAGGACTTCCTATCTCGCTTTACTGCTCCACCAACCTAGACCCTACCCTAGTTTCTGAGAGTCCAGGACACAACAATCTACATGTCAAGTTTTGGTGGCCAGCTGCCTTTCCTAAAGCAGTGGCCCTCAGCCTGGCTGGGAAACTTTACAACTCAGAAGTTCGGTGACCCAGGCTGGTGTGGGACAGAGATCTCTAAAGGAAGAAGGATGATTCTGGCCCTGCAACCGAGCCTTCCAGAGCAACCACCAACCACAGCTAACATTAACTTATTCTTGAGTGTAGATGCAGTGCCTGGCACTGCACATTCACCATACCATATAATGCCTATGACAATCCTTAAGGCAGGGTCAGGGGTCTAAGGGAGATGGCACTTCTGCCATGATCAATCATGATCAGTATGTGGCAAACACAAGCTGGGAGCCCAGAATGGAATCCTGTGCCCAACATTTGGCCCCATGTTGGAATGCTCTACTCAAGTAAGGATTCTAGTGTGTCTACGTGCCAGCTCACTATTCTGTAGCAAATCAACTAATATTTCTGCGTGCATAACAGGGTTGAGACTTGCTAATGCTGTAAGCACACCTCCCTTGCACACTGGCTCACGGCTGTCACGTGCGGACTCCTACACTAAGTCTCCTAGCTCTGGGACATAGGAAAGATGCCACTGATTTAACAGACCTATTCTTGTGCTGTCTTTTCAGATCCAGCCAGAGTTTCTCCAATGTGGTTGTCCACCTTCTCAACCAGAAAGAACCTCAGCAGGTGAGACCCTAGAATCATCACTTTATCTGGGTCCCGAGTGCATGCTAAGCATGGAGGGATCTGGAGGGACATCCTAGTACAGAGTCTTTCATTAGCCCAGATTTACCCAATCTTCCACTCCTTGATGCCTAGCCTAGCACCTTGTACCATGCCAATAATCTATAAATGCTGAGGTTGTAAATGGAATCTCATTTGCTCAAGGCCAGGAGTAGTCGTCAGAGCTCAAGTGAGCTGTAGTATTGAGAGGCCTTTGGGCTTCTCATCGCTGCAAAGACTGACTCTGCACCAGAGCAGCCGGAGGGGTGGAGAAAGCAAATGGAATCTAGAAATCATTTCTCAGGAACAGTAAGAGAAGTGCATCATAAAGCCAGATCTGAAATGCCAACCCATACATCTCATCTCAAAGAAAACAATACATAAGTGGTCTTATTAATTTGTTAAAGGCCAAAACTGACAAGCAAATAAGCCTGGCCAGGTGCTGGGATAGCAGTGGAAATGCCAATGGCAGGCTTTGGCCAAACAAAGTGTGGTCAGTCAGCCAGTGGACACTCTCTTACTAGTCATCTCCTCCCTAAAATAATGAGCTTATAATTCAAAAGAAAGAAAAGAACTGTACTGAAGGTCAGAAATCCCAGGAGGGCAACAATGGAAGGGAAAATTGTTTAAGGAATCTTTGTACTATAAACCATCATTTGTTTCCTCTTGGAACTTACCTTCCCACTATTAATTTAATAGTGTTTGTGCAGACTCCATTCAAAGCAAGAGCCAAGGACACCGCTACAAAACAAAACCAACAAACAGGAAAAAAAACAGTTGAATTTCACACTAAAAATCATCATTACTATAACCACCCCATCATCACCATTAGCATCATCATCATCATCACCATCAACATACCATCATCATCACTACTATCACCACCATTATCATCACCACTATTATTACCCATCACCATTGTGACTATCACCATCATTATGACTACCAGCCATCACTGTCATTGTCATCATCATCACCTATAATTACACTTAGTTTATGACCACAGAGTTGTTAAATAATACTTTAGAAACACAATATAATTGGGGAAGGATTATAGAGGTTGTTCCATAAAGTGCTGCATTCTCATGAAATGAAATCTTTCCTTCTTGACCAGAATTTTCAGCCTCACAAACAAGCTCATCCATCACTTTCTAGCCCGATATAAGCAGATTTAATACAACAGCGTGCAGAATTTCTTTTACTCGTAGCAAGACACATAACTTTCTTTTATTTCCTCCTGGCAATCTCCTCAGACATAATTCGAATCAGAGCAGCTGCCAGAATCCTTCTGAAGAGCAGGACAGTCTGGCAAGGCCTCTGTCATCCCTGACCCATCACCTGCCAACAGCTGTCCATCACTGTTTCCAAGAGGACTGGGGGTCCAGGGAGGTAACTTTTGTCATCTAAATCAGCAAGAACTTCTAGAATACATTATTTTAAAAATACAGCCCAGGGACCTTCTCCAAGCAGCCTGGAAACCTGCTAGATAAGGAGCAGACCAAACCAAAGGGGCAGCAACATGAATCAACACCCATTGCTACAAAAGCTTTGACTTTCCTTCCTACAGTTTGTTAAGAGGACTTAAGAGGTGCAGTCATCATTGTCACTGCGACGAAGGTCAAATAAATGTCTTACATAAGCAACAGAAACTCAGAGAGGTCCTCTCTTCGTTGAGTAATAAAACACATGAGCTACCATTTCTCTTTGGCAGATATTAACTCCTCAATACCAGCAGAGACTTGCATAAGATGAGCACGGGGTGGGGGGGCATTTTTGGGAAGGACCTTCATCCAGTAACTCATTATTATCAAGGGAGATAGGTTAGTTACTCTACAAGCAGAAAGTGCTGTGGCATAGCCATCACAGCCACCAGGGCACACACTACTGAGATGAAGACAAAGTCACCTGCTTTTAGCAGGTTGTAGGAAACAGAAAGAATGGGGAAGGTTGGGATGAAAAGGAACAGTAAACCCCTGAGTGGTGATGGAGCATTCCTGGCCATGTATGAATGGAGTGGGAAAAGGCACAGGTCCCTTCCTGTTGGAGTGCTGAACATGAGTCAGTACCACAGTACTGCACTGCATATGTGCAACCCAGGGTATAGACTGGCTCTGAGTGTGGAGAACATGGGAAGGCCCAGTGACGACCGTCTTTATGGGCACATCTTTCCTGCCAGAAACGCCAGCCTCCTTCTCTTCTACAGGGTCAGAGCAGAGGTGAGAGGCCTCTTTTGCAGAAGAGAGAAAAATCTCCTAGGCTGTCTTGGATGAATTTTCCCAGAGAGTTCTGACAACAATGGAATAGACAGTGGTGGGCTTTTCCCTGCTAGGGCTGGCCCTGCTATGCTTTCTAGGGGAGTTGCACTCCTTCCTCTCCTGGGAGCATGGCCTCAGTGCAGATAAGCCAGCTATGAGTGGGTATCACTGGCTGATCTCTCATTGTCCCACACACATCTTAGTGAACTTCATATGCAGCTCCATTGATCCAGAGCCCAATATACCCCATACACAGTTGGGGCTGAGTGGGCTCGTAGACAGTGCTGTCTTTCCACAGGTTTGAAGTAAGTGAGCTAGAAAATACCAGAAAATGCACTGTACGATCCAAATGCCTGAAAGAGACAGAGAAGGATGGGAAGCTAGAGTGATGACATTTGGGAGTGGGACATTTCAGTGTTCTGGAAGCACATGGGACTAATTCTTATTTGAATGATAGTTTGACAGGATACTGAAGACAGGGCATCAAAATGACAGGGTACTAACACAGGGACCTTTCATGAGGTATCTATTCCAATGTTCTTCATTCTCTAGAATGAAGGCTGGGCTCTGATGGGATGCCTGGTGGCTGCAAAGACAGGATAAGGCATGGCCCCAGGCAAGAGACTAACAAGAGCCCCACAGGTCTAGCCCATGTGGTGCTTTCACAGCATCTGACAGTACCATTTTGACTGATGGATCAGAAACACAAACAAGACTGGCTGATAAAGAAATTCAAAGTGGCATATCCTACAGGTTGGCTTGCTAGGGGCTGGTTTTGAGGGTATTATGGGCTATGGGCATACCAGAGGATTTGAGAGCTTTCCTGTTATTTTTTTGTAGTATTAAGCAGCCCAGTACTCCAGTCTTTCAATAACAGAGTTCCTGGGTACTCTATATCCTGAATACCTACAAGCTAGATGCTGCACAGGGAACACACCGCCGTGCTTGTCTGTATGTAGCAAAGGGGAACACCTGGGCTCAGGTGCAAGTGCCTGGGATAAAATCTTCTAATACCCTCACTACAGAATGACATAACAGCTAACCTCCCCTCCATGAGGGAGTTCTGAATTCCAGGCTTGATTAGAAGCCACCTAGTTTTCTGACTTTGAAGTTTAAGTTCGCCTTTACTGCCTCCAAACCTTCCCAAAGCACTGGTTGTTTGCAACCTCTGTGCACACTGCTGGCTTCTTATCATTTTCTGGACAGGAGCTCATTGATTTGGGCAAACAGAACAGCCAATGATTCTGTTTTAGTTACATATAGGAGGCAGAGTATGGTGCTCAATTTTAAAGCATCACCCTAAGAGAGATTTGGCTGAGAATTAAAATGGCTAGAGAAGGTAGCCAGGGCTGCTTAGAGATGCCACAGGAACACAATTCCATAGCCAGCAGTAAACTAAAGCCACAACCATGGCAGACATTCTTTCCCATAGTCATCTATCTTGGGGCTCTATATGAGGGAGCAACTGCAATATAAAGTGAGGTGAAGGGATTCCCAAACCAGCAAAGGGTGCCCAATAGGATGCTCTAAGGATCACAGTAATAGTCACGAAAATACTGTCCGGTCACTAAAGCCAGGTACAGTAAGGTACCAATGCCCCTTCCCCCACCTGACCTGAGAGAGCAAGCATGTAACCACAGGCTGGCCAGAATCAAGACAAGCTTTGTTTTTAGTCTGGAGAAACAACTGAGTCAAAGTCTCCATCTAGGGGACTGGGAGCAAGGAACAGAGAGAAAACAGGGGGTGGCCACCAGAGATGAGCAGTCAGATGTGTAAGTAGAAAGTAGCAACTGTGAGCCACTGTGAGCCCATGCACCACTGTGAGCCCATGCACCACTGTGAGCCCATGCATCACTGTGAGCCCATGCATCACTGTGAGCCCATGCACCACTGTGAGTCACTGTGAGCCCATGCACTACTCTGAGCCCATGCACCACTGTGAGTCACTGTGAGCCCATGCACCACTGTGAGCCCATGCACCACTGTGAGTCACTGTGAGCCCATGCACCACTGTGAGCCCATGCACCACTGTGAGTCACTGTGAGCCCATGCACCACTGTGAGCCCATGCACCACTGTGAGTCACTGTGAGCCCATGCACCACTGTGAGCCCATGCACCACTGTGAGTCACTGTGAGCCCATGCACCACTGTGAGCCCATGCACCACTGTGAGTCACTGTGAGCCCATGCACCACTGTGAGCCCATGCACCACTGTGAGTCACTGTGAGCCCATGCACCACTGTGAGCCCATGCACTACTCTGAGCCCATGCACCACAGAAAGCAAAGGTCTGAGGCAGAAGAAACCGCATCCAGGCTGGAGAGAAGACAGGAAGTGGAGGGACATGAGGGAAGGCATATTTCAGACAGAGTTGGTCATGAGCTCTTGACATTCCTGCTCGCTCCCCACTACAGCCCCACGGAGCACTGCTCTGTTATCCCCTCCTTTTCTTGGAGTTGATAAGATTGCTTATTTTAGATCTGTCTTTAAACCCATTATTTACTTGAGCTAATCTGAAAGGGAAACGTAACATTATTCTTTTCAACTAGACAGACTCAACTAAAGCTTGGTTACGTAAAAATGGCCTCTATTCTTCATTCTTTAGACACACACTCTGTCTCATTCACACTCCCTCCTTAAGAAAAGAGAAGAGTGTCATGCTGCGTTTTCAAGTCTATATAAGCCCAATAATTAACAAACACATCCCATAGAGAGGAACCTCAGTTTCCAGACTTACCACCCCAGAGGATAGGAAATCCACAGAATATACTAAACCCAAGCTTGGGATGAAGGTCTAGATAACTTATGTAAAGTATATATGTACTCAATTTAGTTTTCCAGAGGATTAATTAAAAAGCTAGAGATTTAGACCCAGTTAAATTACCTTGATTGTTAAAATAGCTCAGTAGGATTGACTCTCTCTCTCTCTCTCTCTCTCTCTCTCTCTGTGTGTGTGTGTGTGTGTGTGTGTGTGTGTGTGTGTGTGTGAGAGAGAGAGAGAGAGAGAGAGAGAGAGAGAGAGAGAGAGAGACCTATGCACACGCAGATACACTGGGCACTCCCTACCTGTGAGTGCCCTTTACTTCACATTGACTCAACATCTTTTGAGCTTATCTTGTTTTACTTTTCCAGAGTTTAATTTTGACCACAGGAAAAATATCAGTTGGGTGTAAATGAGATTTTTTTCAAATGTGATTATCTAATTAAGATCATTCCCAGCCCCTAAAGCAAGAACTGTGAATACTCTACCTAAGAAGGCTTCCTTAATTTCAGTCTTGTCTGTCCGCCGGATAATTTTCACCACACAAATAACAGCCAAGGGTGTGAGGAAAGAAATTGCCTGGAAGAAACAACAAATAATCCCTCTTGAGGACTCTGATTTGCTTCAGATGTGGCAATTCATAATTAGTGCCAGTTAACTTCAACTCGCTAGTCAAATGACCTTACTGAATTGACCTTAAACAAAGAAGGGCAACTTGTCTATATGAAGCAAAAACACAGGCACGGCAAACTGGAGGTCTGATTGCAGGTTCTAATTTATTTGTAATTGCTAGGAGCCACATTTAAAGTGGGAGCTTTTTTTAAAGAGTAAAGAATAGTGTATAATTATAATAGTTCATCAGCACCAGTAAAACCTGGAACCTCCTCCTCCTGACTCTCTCTCCCTGTGTGTGTCTGTGTGTGTGTGTGTGTGTGTGTGTGTGTGTGTGTGTGTGTGTGTGTGTGTGTGGTTCCACCTCCCTAGAGACATGAGAGGGTAGGCCTTCTTAATGACAATCAATCATCTCGTTCCCTTTTGGAGTTCCTCTTTTGAATAACCTTATTTTTTTTCCTTTTAGGTGAGAAGTGAGTCCTTTCATACAAATTCTTCCTCCAACTTCACAAGATATAGAGTCACCTGGAAGTCAAACCTCTGGATATGTTTGTAAGGGGGTTTTTAGATGGGATTAATTCATGTAGGAAGACACGATCTAACTGTGAGCAGTACTACTCTGTGAGTAAGGTCCCAGACAGAATTACAAAGAGAAAGAGGCTGAATACCAGCACTCATTTCTCTCTCCCTCTCTGCTTCCTAACATGGATGCAACATGACCAGCCACTTCTGGATTCTACTGACATGTCTTCCCCACAATCATGGACTGTATCCCCTCAGACTGTAAGTCAAAGTAAATCTGTCTTCCTTAAGTTGCTTCTTGCCAGGTATTTGGCTATAGCAGTAAGGAAAGTAACTAAGGTACCATCTACCCAAATCCACACCAGAATGAATCTGGTGGGGTCCACATGCAACCAGGCTCAGCTTAAAGCACCATATGAGGCAGTTCCTGTATCAGGAGTATTTACGGCTCATGGTGGCTCTGGGAAAACTTCTTGTGTTTAGTGATAGGCCTGGGGACAGACAGCTTATATGTTACAAGCATGGTCTTCTTAGGCCACTTCTACCTCCCATATAGAGCTTTTTTAACCACTGCAGCCACCAGGAAGAAAGGTATCTACTTAACTCTTCATGTGTAACATCTCTGGACAACAGTGTCTGGATGGACAGAACACTGCATCGATCTGTAATTGATGGGAAGGGGTGGTAACTATGGGTCCCTTATGTTCCCACTTAGGAATTATTCAATGTGCTCAGATGAGATTTCACTTTCCACAGAGGGGCTTCCTGATAGGACAAAGTAATAAATGGAATTCATGCAAATGACCATGACTTTTGAGAACAGGCTCTTTCCATTTCAATCAATTGCTTTGGGGACTCATCTTTGGCTCCTGCCTCCAGAGACAGCTTGTGAGACACCAGAAAACCTTCCTTCTCATTTGTCATCATGTCTTTGTGAGCATGAGAGGTATTAACTGGTTAGGGGTTGTCCCCTCATCAATTATGGCTCTGGATGACATGGACTTTGAAACCAACTGATGAAGCCTGGAAGCCAACTGCTCATATCTGAATAACCTCAGGGTTTACTAACATGCTGACATACTTATATGACCAGTGAAGAGACCAAGAACCATATTTTTTAATAAGTACCCCCAAATGATCCTGATGGTGTTGATTGAGAACTACATCTTCACATTCAGATCCTGAAAACCAATGTCCAGGGTATCACCTCTTAATATAGCCAAGACCACAGTCAAGGCTCAAGAATCCTTTCTGACTCCAAATGCAAATGTCAAGCTCAGCAGCCTAATTATTTCCCATCCCTTTAAACCCTGGGTATAGTTCATGCCACATGTTCCCAAAGAGGAGAGAGCAACTCACCAAATAGTAAGCTGTAAGGACAACACCACATGCCAAGCCTTAATATAATAACGCAGAACAGAAGAAAATGTTGAGACAACCCTAGCCAACATATTCCCACGTGTGTGTAGGCACAAAATAAAACTCTAAATAAAATACAAGACCCCAAAGCCTGGTAAAGGGGACTTTAGAGTAGGACATTTGGGCCTAAATAAGGGATAGTGTATCAGTTAACATGCAGGCTCACAGCCAGAAGTGAGAAATAAGGAGTCACTAGGGCCTGATGACCAAGGGCTTTCTTTAAGCATCATTCCCCGACACAGATTTCTTGTTTTTAATTAGGTCTGCCTCCCCTCTGCCTCTGCCAAGACAAACCTTCCTTGTATCCCCTCTGTAACTTTCCCAGGCAGGTGGTATTTGGAATCACTTTTATGACCACCAATCACCTGCTTACTGAGCCAGTACTAAGCATGGGGTGAGGAGCAGGGACAGTTCAGTTTCCCCACTTCAAGAGCTCAAGAAAAGGACTCCAACCTGATGGAGTGCCAAATTCTACCTCCTAACAGAAGTATCTGCGGGTACCTGCAGTGTGTGATCTCTCCTATGTCCTAACAACACTGGGGACACTATACTCATGCCTTTGTCCTGGACATGTATGGTGGTTTGGATAAATGTCCTGCATCAGCAGTTCTCAACTTGTGGGTCCATAGTTTTGGTGGTCTTAAGAACTGAGATACCACTCAGTGGCAAAATCACATTTACAAAGCAACAATGAAAATAAATATATAGTTGGGGGTTCCTAAGACAGTCGGAAATATGTGATTTCCAATTGTCCTGACCCACCGGTTGAGAAGCACTGTGCTATGTAATCTCACGCATTTGAATACTTGTCTCTAGTTGATAGCAGCATCTGGGAAGGCTTTGGCAGTGTGCTGGAAGATGTCACTGGAGGCCTTGTGGTTTGGAAAGCCACACACCATTCCTTTCCTGCTTGTGGTTTAAGATGTAAGCTCTTAGGGAGCAGAGAGCCCAACACAGAGCAGAGTTACATCTATATTTACTATTCTCTCCCCATCTGTTACCTGATGTCTCACCATATCCCAAAATGAACATAACATGTGTTCAGAGTACACGCACAGAATATGGGGATCTCATATGGGATTGAGGTGCGCCCCACACAACCCCATCTAACCTGAGTAGAGAATGTCAGGCAAAGGAAGAAGGTTGAAAACATAAAAGAACAGATGTTCCCAGGCATCTTGCCCAAGCAGTATATGGTCACTGTCTCCAAGTGGGTTCCCACCTTGTACAACCACCAGTGATTCCCACATAGGAAATGTCCTCAGTGTCCAGATGCTACTCCATCTAGAAACAGAGTCCTCCTCAGCACTGTTGCAGAGCACTAGACTGTCCCAGATGTGTCTAGAAAAGGCCAGGCTTGGAGCAACCTGTCTCAGGGTTGGGGGGGGACGGAGAGTTTAACAACAAAGGAGTCCAGCCCAAAACATCCCAGTGTCAGGATTCTAGCCAGTGAGGAGGCCTCCAAGGCTCACTCATGTCACAACACAGTGCCAAAGTGCCTACAGCTCTGGCACTTCATATAAAAGTGGGCAGAGAAGCATTTTTAAACACAACTCGAACACACACCGATACCCAGAAAAGGCCCCGCTTTGGGTAAACAATAGCAATCTGTCACCAAGGAAAGGGCCATCAAAGACTTAAAAAGAGACTACAAATTAAACTGTCTATCATCTGCAAAGTGTGTCTCTCTCCTTCCGTCCTCTCCCTGAACAAACTAGTTCCTGTCTTCTTTAAAGGTACCCCAGAATAGGAAACAGTTCTAGCACATCATCACAGTGACAGGAAGATTCTGGGAGATGAAATCAGGTGAGCTCTGGCCACAATCAGAAGAGGCAAAGAAAATGAGTTGGGTGTTTCCTTGAAAGACAAGAGAAAAATCTGTGGAACTCTCTTCTCAGCCTCCTGTTTGAGTCTAAGCTGTTCTTCAAAGGGTTTTCCAGCAGTGCTGAACTGTCCGGAGGACATCTGTGTATGAACCTCCACTAAAACAAAAGTCACATGGTACTCAGCCCTGGATTCCTACTGCCCAGGCCTGGACTTGACTCACAGCAGATACTTTATCTGCCTGGGTATGAGGAATAACAATAATAATCATTAATCTGGAGACATCCACAATTTGGCTCCATCCCTGCCTCCTCTGCCCCTTCACCCTGTAGATACCCTTGATAAACTGACTCAGTGGCCCACATGGCTCTGTTCTCCCACTTTGGAATCTTTATGTCTGCATTTTCTGTGTGTCACATGCTGGCACCACCTCTCCACCTCACCCCAAGTCCAAAAGGTGGCATCAGAGCATCGGGGCTTCTCGGTATTCTGAGAGGGGCTGGTCTAGCTTCTAACAGTTGTAAGACCACAGTAGAGTTGTTTGGTTTTTCATCCTGAAATTATTGAGCTGATGAAAAATGGTGCCACCAGAGATTCTGAGAAGCGTTAACTGAGACACTGATCGCCATGTGATGCGCACAAGCACTGTCCTCAAAAACCAAGGTCACTGTGGTATCTCATGATGGTGGCAGTGGTGAGAATGGTGACAGGTGATGGTGATGATGGTGATATAGTGATGAGGATGGTGGTGAGAAGACCATGATGAAGACGATGGTGAAGAAGGTGGTGAAGATCCACAGAAGCCTACCTGAATCTCCCCTCTGACCTTTCCAGATCCCATTTGACATCAGAGTAAATATGCAGGGTCCCTGGGGGCATGGTCCACGCCCGACCTGAAATCCTGTTCTCCACAGCCCTTATGGTTCCCCCTACCTACAACATGTTCTTTGGAAGTATGCCCTGAATGCACAACATGACATCGACAGAGGATATACTAAGTAACATTCATGACCAACTGATATGCCCTACACCTACACCAATACAGGTGTCATGATCTGATAAACCCCACACAGTCAGCAAGGAATTGTGACCTCTTGAATAACAGCACAGACTCTGGCAAGGGACTGACTGCTTGGGGATGACAGAGAAATGTTAAGTCAAGACTCAGTGTTTCTGAAAAGAATCCTTGGTCTGTCTCTCTAGTCAACAGGGAGACAAAATCATCATGGAAAAACAAGCTCTTGGCATTAAACAGTCCCGCTTTACGCAGACCCATTACCTGTACTGTAGGAGACACAGGCAGATAAAATGGGAGCTGGGACTTTTCTGAGGATGACAACAGGATTTATTCTCCCTTTGACTGCACTTGACTCAATCACCAAACCTTTACTATATTATTTTTCTGGTTACATTTGACCAAAGGGTTTTGACATACACACATGCATACGTGTACACACGTACACACTCATTACTCATGACTTGGGGCCACTAATTATTTGAAAAACATTTTAGTTAATAAAGTTAGAAAGTTCAACTTTGGATGGAAACATTTCAACCTACATAAAACCTCCTGGATTTTTTTTTTAATGAAAGAGTGAAACTTAGGCCAATGAGGTAGACAAGTCAGTAGAGGTACTTTCTGCCAAGCCTCTACCACCTGTCTTTCATCACTAGAACCTACAAAGAGTAAGGAGAAGACCAACTCTCGCAAGCTGTCTTCTGACTGTGACAGGCACACCACGGCATGTACATCACACAGAATAGATGAATGAGCCTCCAAGAGAAACTGACCTAGATTAGATACATGGGAGGCCATATGGGCCACTCAACTGTCTTCTGCAGACACTTGGAAAGCTTTTGAGGGCCAAAGCTGACAAACAATAGCTCACATTAAGTTCTTAATAAAATCTAGGTGAACAAATCGAATTATGGAATGACAGAGTATTTTCTACCTTTGAGCTGCAGGTATTTTAAATGGCGTGCCTGCTCTGCTGTTGCTCTTGTGGATAGCACTGACTCTTGTAGCCAAATGCATGTGCTTCATCAATAACTATTAACAAAGCAAAAGGCTGAACTTGTTTCATTACAAGGCTAGAGAGTGTGTCAGTGCGCGGAGGCAAATATATGTCTATTCTCCAAAACTCACAGCACCGAAGGGCCTTTCTGCATCTCACCCAAGCCACTAAGCAAATTGTTTCATCCAACTTGTGTCTGTAGCCAGAATATTTGTGGCATCTGCATCTAGTCTTCAAAACAATCCATTGTTCATAAATCTAGGCCAGAGCCGCAAATTTCTCTCAATGTCCTGTGTGAACATTCATCTCCAAATTGCATTTTTACAGCACATGAAATGCAAAACCCTGGGAAGAATGGGTCTGAGTGATAAACAGATGTTTTCCCCTAATTGTGCTGTGAAGTCATTAGCCACACACTGGTTCCTTCATATCTACGATTTATTGAGTTAGGATGGAATTGGAAAAGGATCTTATTATAATATGTGAGTATTTGTTATGTCTTATTGCCAACCGACCTTAATAGTTCACTTTGCCTAAGATTTACAGAAACCTATTTTATTTTCTAAGCTGAAAAGTAATTATTAAAAGCAACTGTAATAACACCTGAATGCTCACACAGTATAGAAGGCATTTCCATTTGCAGATATGAATATCTTTCTAACCACAGTTACTTAAAAAGCCTTCCTCTGTGAAATAAAGGATTTCTTTCAAATAGTCCCATGTGTATTGTGAATGTTCTGGAATAGTAACCACAGTCCCAAAAAGCACAAGCATAATGGTGGGTCAACAGGAATCACTTTTGAGCCACTAGACAGCCCATCTGAAAGTTTTGTTATTGTTTCCAGTGGAGGGAGCACGTGACTGCTTCCTTTGCTACTAAACAGCTCACTGGCAATGTTCTGAGAGCGACTGAGCATCAGTAAGGAGTTCCAGCTGCTCTGGAACATCCAAGGCAGTCTCAAGGTGGACAGTGACCTCCAGAGTTGATTACTCAGATCAGACACTGTCACTCACCAGTTGTGTGGCTTCATGAAAGTTCCCTCATCTCTCTGGAAGGCACTTCTGACCCTGCAGGGTGTGGCTAGTAGAGAACCCATCCTCTCTGACATAGGCTGACTATATGAGGTAGCCTTTCCATAGGCACTGGCACACAGGAAGAGAAAGGTAAGAGACTGCAACTGCCACGTGGTAAGAGAAGGAGGTAAAAATAATTCCACTATATCCACCAGCTGCTTGGTTGTTTGATCCTTCATCTTAGGAGTGAGACATAGACAACATCTAGTGGTAAGGATATGGGGTAGGCTGTGTGTGTGTGTGTATGTGTGTGGTGTACACACGCATATTTCTGTTGGTTGTGTGGGGGCATACATGTGTGTGATAGCATGCATAGAGATCTCTAGTGGAAGCTAGATGTCTTCCTCATCCTCATTGGTATTCCACCTTATATAATGAGGCAGGGTCCCATACTTGAACCTATAGCATACTGATTTGCCTAGACTAGCTTCCATGCTTGATTAGGGTTGCTTGTTTCTGCCTTTCATGTGCTGGGATTACAGGCTGATCACCACACCCACTTAGCATGGGTTCAGGTTATCCAAACTCTGGTCCTCACATGTGGCAAGTAGTTTACCCAATGAACCACATTCCAGGCCACCACAGGGTCACCCTGCCAGTGATCAACAACTTCCCAGCCCACAACAGACACATGGTTAGCAAAGCTCTCTACATTGATTTCCAGGCTGATTCTGCAAGGAGAGGGGACAGGGAATCCTTGTCACTAGCTTCCAGTCTGTCTTTACTACACTGTCACTATGTGGAAACATTCAACATAACTCAGGTAAGCAAGTGTTAGACAATCAGTTTCTCAAGTGAGCAACCAGTGCCTGTCTTGATCTGGAAGTGAGGCTTAACTGGACATGCTGCTTTTATCTTTATTTAAAGTTGACTACTGTTCTCAACAGGGGACATATCAGCCACCAAACCACAGTACTTACAAACATGAGGCGCGTAGGTATGTTGTCTGACTGCACCAACGGATTTTTATAGAGCCAGATCTCTTCCGGCTGGATGACTCTCTGGAATGGATCCAAAAACTCTGTAAAACTGAAACAAAACAAAGAAAAGGACATGAAAGCTGAGTCTTCAGAGGCTGTGGACAGACCCTGGGAGGCCACTTCTGCATGACCTTAGGAGAATCTTCCAGACTTCTGGGAAGGGGAGAAATGGCCGCCAGTGACAGTCCTCAGCCAGGTCCAACTGGACAAAGAGACACTGAGACTGTAGAGTCCTCAGCCACCCCCTGGCAGCAAGAACTCACTCTTGCTAAGGAAACAGCTTTGGAACTGTTTTACAAAGACTCTAAGAACTTAGGCTCCTAACGTGAGCTAAAAGTTCAAGAGATGTACAATGGTTCACACTGGGTCAAGGCCAGGCCGGCAGCACAGCGGCTTGGAACAAAGTGGGTCTGAGACAAGAGTGGAGACTCATCAGGCTCCCTTGACCTACCCAGGGAACAGGAAGTGTCCTGCCCTCCTTCCTGCTACCCAGATGAAGACATGATGCTGCCACTCTCCCCACTAGGGGGCAGAGGAAGGATGAAGAGATGCAGTGATGGGATGTTTTGAGTCAGCTAAAGGGCTAGCTCTAGGCATCTTCCGTCTTCATCTTTTCACCCTCTGCAAACCTGCCCCTGCCATGGGAAACCATCCATCGCATTACCCAGTCTGGGTTATGTCTTCATTAGTTGGACAACCAAAAGCAATCATGAAAGGGGAAGTGGTTGGGGTATGGGAGACAGACAATATGAATTTATCAATATGAATTTTCAGATTTCAGCCATTAGCCTCTGCCCAGCCTCTCAAGTCCTATCTCCACCTAAACTTCATTCGGAATGATTTTGGGTATGAATGGCTGGGAGCCAGAGCATCGGGGGTTGCAGTCTTTCACTGTTAGGCTGAGAAATTCTGATCCTGAGCTAATAGGATAGGAAGTGCCACTCAAAGTGGTGTCCCTGGCAATGCGATGCATGGGACTTGGAGAAGAGCAGAGGAATGAAGGCAAGAGAATGATCAGGGGTATACAACTGCCCCAGCAAGAGGTGCCTGCAAAGGGGCTGGGAGGACACATGGGAGGGCATGCAGGTGGGCAGGAGGCAGTGGTTCAAGTCCAGTCCACGTTTCTAGTTTGGGGTACTGTGGACCAAAATGAGGAGTTTGGGGTGACAGCTAGAAAAGAAGACAACTTTGTGCTCCTCTAGAGATTTTATGGTACCTAGTAGCCATGGTCTACCCCAGTTTTAGTCCTGGATTCAGAAATTCCCTCTGTTGTATGCAAAAAAAAATTTTTAAGTCATCCAAGGGCCAGATCCTAGCCAAATTGGGAACCCAAATTTGCACCCCCAAACTTGGGCGTCATATGATCATGGTCTGTCTGTGTTTCTCATGCACATTTTCAGCAGTGACCATACAAGGACTGTGAGCTGAGACCCTTTAGAATGGCTGGCCCACTAAGAGGCTCTGATACTGCCAAAGTTAACATCCACTCTGAACAGCTGCACGGTGTACCATCAAACGGACTAGCCTCTCAGTCTACTCTATCATGCATCTAAGACAAGTGATTCCTCCCTGTTGGCTTCTACATGCCTTCCTGCCCTCCCTTCCACTCTCCCTTCTCTGTGTCCTCACCTCTGACTGTGGTTAAACTCTAAGAATCTGTGTACTTAGGAATTCCAAGAAGAAAGAGGAGCCGTGGACAGCTCTGCTCAGCCCTGTGCCCACGGCACCTCCACCTGGAATAGAAGAGTCACCTGGGAAACACCTGACAGTGTAGTGTAGTAGTACTGTCATAGAGACCAGCCAAGTCCTCACCAGCCTGAGCCCAGAGTGCGCCTATTGCAGAATGGGGTCCCAAGTATGCCAAGAACCTGCAGAACTGCTCTGGGCCCCATGTACTTTCTTCAAAGAAAAGTATACCAAGCACCTCTCTGGGCATCAGAAAATGGCTCCCTGTCCCCCACCCCCTTAAAGCTGCTCTGTTACTGAGTAAAGGCATTCCCTTATGGGGAAGCTTGTAACAAAATCAGAAGCCACAGCTGGAGATGGGTGAGAACCTTCTAGAGACTTGCTAGTTAGGTGTACAAGCAGTAGGAACAGGACATGGGGATGTGGATTTTAAACTATTCTCCAGGTGCCATGCTCCAGCTCCAGTGATTCCTTAAGGGTCGTGTACTCTTGACTCCAAGAAACTTGATGATTTAATTCTCATCTTTGACAATCCCGGTGTTTCAATCTACCCCTGGCCATGTGGTGCATGGAAAAATATTTTCCTTAAAAACCCTAATCTGCAGTTTCTTTGTCTGTAAGTTGACCCTATCTTACAGAGCTGGAATGTAAACTAAACTGAAAGAACACACATGGAACTGGGTTGAAACTCAGTTGGTAGACGCTTGCCTGGCATGCACAAGGCCTGGCACCATATCAACTGGGTTATCATGGTGCACACCTATAATCCCAGCTCTTAGAAACTGAAGGCAGGAGGATGAGTTCAAGCATATGGAAGGCTATCCTGGACTATATGAGAAAGGAAAAGAAAAAAGAAAGGAAAGGAAAGGGGGAAATAGAGGGATGGGGACAGAAAACTAAAAGAAGGAAGGGGGAGGTTGAAATACGCAGAATACCCAACAAAACATGGGCAAAATAGCTACTTTTCCCATTTACTGCTGTACTCCAGTCTCTAGTGTGTGTTTCCACCAGTTTTTAGTATTTTCTTTGACTGTGTCACAGCCTACTCCATGCTCCCAAGTGTTTTTAAAGTATTTTAAACAAAATGAAAGGCAACAAAGCTTATTTCAAAGATGTTTTCAGGCCATATAGGCTGCTTGTGAAAACAAAAACTTCTAGAATATTCTGATTACTCTGAATCCACAATAAATCATCCAAAAATATTTTATTTCATCTGTGAGTTTCTGGTCTGGAAAATTCTGGAGGTCCAGAATTACTTAGATGCTCTCTTCCAATATCTTAGAACATTGGCTGACACTGTGTCTGTCTGAGGACTGCATTAGGCTACCCATCAAGATGGCTACCCACTGATGACAGCCTGTCTGTGGCTGAACTGGAGTACCAACACATTCCTAGAAGTCCTAGGGTACTGAGAATTTCATCTAACATCCAGAAAAAGTAGGCAAAAGCTAGCTGACTTCTCCTGATCCAGCCCTGCGAGTCAAATAAGACCATTTCCACGGTTTAGATGTTGATGACCCCCCAAGAGCTCAGGTGTCTGAACACTTGGTTCTTAGGAGGTGCTACTGTTTTGGAAGGGTGTGGAACCTTTAGGTGATAGAACCTAGCTGGAAGAAATGGGTCACTGAGGACAAGACTATCTATCTGCCTATCTATCTATCAATCCATCCATCTTAAGGATTTATTTATTTTTGTTTCATGCATATTGGTGTGTTGCTTACATGTATGTCTGTGTGAAGGTGTTGGACCCCCTGGACCTTGAGTTATAAACAGTTATGAGCTACCATGTGGGCACTGGGAATTGAACCCAGGTCTTCTGGGAGAGCAGCCAATACTTACAACCACTGAGCCATCTCTCCAGTCCTAAGACTTGACATATGTAGACCCACCATGTTTCCTGTGCCCAGTTTCCTAATCTGTCCAAATGTAAGTGAGCAGCTTAGGTACCTGTCACCACATGGAAGAGCTGCTTCTGTCTTTCCTGTCATGATGGACTGTACCCCTAAACCATGAGCCAGAAAGGACCCTTGATTCCTTATGGGTTTGTTGTTGTTGTTGTTTGTCAAGTATTTGGTCACAGCAATGAGAAAAGGAATGAATGCAGTCAGTCTGACCACATGTACGGACAAATCTTAAAGTTATCATCAATGAAGGGAAGCAGATGATTCCTCTTGACAGGTATAGAAAGTCCTGATTACAGAAAAGCAGGTGGATGCAGAATACAGCTTCAGCCACCACTGAAGCACCATCCTCCACCCACAGGGTGTTACTAACTGTAATGGTTCCACAGCTCACTGTCAGAAACCCCAGATCCTTGACTCCCATTTCTTCTCCACAAAGCAGGCCACAAGGCCGGAAGACTTAGACACATCATTGAGCAATTTACTTCCCACTGTCCGTGTCTTGAGTACCTCTCGCTGTCTGTCTCTCTGTCTCTGTCTTGTTACGAGCGCTCTTTCATGCCAGCCTGGCCCCATAACCGAGTCAGCCCCAAATGAACACTCAGAGGCTTGTGTTAATTATAATACTGCTGGCCAATGACTAGGGCTTCTTATTGGCTATCTCTGTCTTAATTACTAACCCATTTCTATTAATCTAAGTATTTCCACGTGGTCTTATCTTACCGGAGAAAGGTCTGGGAACTTGTTAGTCTTCTGGAATCCTACATGGTGACTGCTCTCTCCTACACCTCCCAGAATCCTCCTCATCTCCTAGTCCCAACTATCTTCCTGCCTGATTGGCCCAATAGTGCTTTATTCATTAACCAATAAGATAAACATATTTACAGAATGACATCTCCCATCACTGTCTCTCTCTGTTTCTGTCTGTCTCCATCTCTCTGTCTGTCTCCATCTCTCTGTCTGTCTCCATCTCTGTCAGTCTCTCTGTCTCCATTTCCCTGTCTCCATCCCTCTCTATGTCTCTGTCTCTCTGTCTCTGCCCCCACTCTTGTGGTGTTCATATACACATGGTGCATGTAAGTGTGGAGGCCAGAGGTCAACTAACCTCAGATACTGTTCCTCATATGTCATTCTGCTAGTGTTTTGACACAGGGTCTCCCCATGGGGGCTTGGCACTTGCCTATTAGACTAGGCTGTCTGGCCAGCAAGCTCCAGGAACCCACCTGTTCTGCCTCGCTAGCACTGGGATTACAAGTATGTGTCACGGTACCCTTCTTTTTTTTGTTTTTTGTTTTTTGTTTTTTTGGTTTTTCGAGACAAGGTTTCTCTGTGGCATTGGAGGCTGTCCTGGAACTCGCTCTGTAGACCAGGCTGGCCTCGAACTCACAGAGATCCGCCTGCCTCTGCCTCCCAAGTGCTGGGATTAAAGGCATGCGCCACCAACGCCCGGCGGCACCCTTCT